TCTTCTTCTTCTTCTTCTTCTTCTTCTTCTTCTTCTTCTTCTTGTTCGTGTGGAGTGTAGTTGCGTTGATCGTCCTGTAGATGGCGCCTCTCTCTTGCTCCGGGGCATCAGGGGCAAACACCTCGCGCTCTGACGGTTATAAAACACCAGTCTTAAAACTCTCTGTTCCACCTGATGATGTCATGAAGTGAGGCTCCTCTGTGTTTTTAAAGCCTGACACGTTTATTTTCCTCAGGTTTGTGTCACATTTGTACAGAATCAGTTTAGAGGCAAATAATTCAAAGACGCTTTTAAAACAAAATACAAATAAATAAATAAATAAAATCTAATAACAATAATAATATGAAGAAGATGAAGAAAAAGAAAATATATAAATGTGGAGTCAGATTATTTGTGTAATCGTGTAAAATTTCCGTCTTTGTCTCTTTTATTTTTGTTTTGTGTCTTTCTCTGTTTTGTTTTTTTTTTCTTTGGTTCTGATTCTTCTTCTCGTTGGACATTTTGGTTTCACTTTTGGCGCAGGTGTGACAGGTGTGACAGGTGACAGGTGTGACGGTGTGACAGGTGTGACAGGTGTGACAGGTGTGACGGGTGTGACAGGTGTGACAGGTGTGACAGGTGTGACGGGTGTGACGGGTGTGACAGGTGGGCGGAGTTTCCATGCTGCATTCTCATTGGTTCATTTCTGTTTGACGGCTGAGCCTGGATCTGCTGAGACTGTTTTATTATTTTTTGATTTATATTTTTGTGTTTGATATTTTTTTTAAAGCGTCTTTAAACTGTTTGACTCTAAATTGATTCTGTATTTTTAAACTTTTGTTAAACTTGAACCAAAACGTTTCCGACTCCTAAAATACGACTTTAGTTTTTGTTTTCTAAAGTGACAGAAAATCTTAAACCGGTCGTTGTGTCGTCTGTTCTGTCCTCAGGGTCGTTGAACAGTTTAATGTTTTAATCACTAAAGTCGTTAAGATCCTCGTTATCCTCGTTAGTCTCGTTAGTCTCGTTAGTCTCGTTATCCGTGATTGAGTTTGACTTTATGATGTTATTAAATGATGCTGTTCCCCCAAACACCAGAGGAGGCGCCGCTGACACGACGCTGCAGTGTGAGGTTCACACACACTCGAGGTTCAGGGTGAGCGGCGTTTAAAAAAAAAAAAATGGTTTTCTGGTGGTTGGAAATAATAACATTTTGAAGCGAGTGAAGAATGAAGGAAATTTATGACGAATATGAGTCAGAACAGACAGATTTTCTTTGTGTTTTGTCGTTTTTTGAAGCAGATTTTCTGTATTTGACCAAAACAAATGTCAGTTTGTTTCTTTGCTGCTGCAGGATCAGACGGGTTAAGAAACAGAGACACTGGGACATTTCTTGTATAAATTGGGACAAATCAGTGTTTTGTATAAATCTGCAGGACAGAGACAGAGACTCAGGACTGGGACTGACCCGGGGACACAGGGACGACTGGACTCACTGTTTACATTTATCACCGGGAAATCGAACCCACGACCTCATGTTGTAGTCACGACCGCACTAAATGAGACCAAGACCTGTCCAAGACCAGTCCAAGACCAGTCCAAGACCAGTCCAAGACCACAGGGTCCCAAGACCAAGACTTTTAAAGGTCGAGACCGAGACAAGACTGAGACTTTTTTAAAGGCCGAGACAAGACCAAGACCACGGCCCATCGAGACCAAATCAAGACCGTCTTTGTCTTTTACTACATTTATTTACATCCAGTTTTAGTCCTGGTTTAGTCACAGGTTTAGGTCTTGTTTAGTCCTAGTTTTGACCTGGTTTAGTCCTGGTTTAGTCCTGGTTTAATCCTGATTTAGTCCTAATTTAGTCCTAATTTAGTCCTGGTTTAGTCTTGGTTTAGTTCTGGTTTAGTTCTGGTTTAGTCCTGGTTTAGTCTTGGTTTAGTTCTGGTTTAGTCCTGGTTTAGTCCCAGGACTAGAACTTCTGGGGCAAAAAAACCAGAGAGAATAAAATATTAACATTAAAATTGTCAGGAGAAAGTTTTTTTGATCGGTGATATTTGAAATAAACTTTAAATTAAATATTGGAAATAGATCAAAATCAGTTTTTTTGTTTGAAACTAAAACAGAAAAATGAAATAACAAACAGTTTTCACATTTTATTGTTTTTCATTTCAAACAGTAAATGATCTGAGTGGGACTTGATCCTCAGACCTTCAGGTTTTGGAGTCGCTGCTCGAAACACTGAACCAGTGTTAAAAACACCAGGTCACTCTGGTCATTTACCCCAAGAACATGGACCTGACTGTCCCAGGGGTCTGCAGGTCCCAGGTCCAGACACACTCAGGTCCAAACAGCTCACAGGTCCCAGTCCTGGTTTAGTCCTGTTTAGTCCTGGTTTAGTCCTGGTTCAGTCTGGTTTAGTCCTGGTTCAGTCTGGTTTAGTCCTGGTTCAGTCCTGGTTTAGTCCTGGTTTAGTCCTGGTTCAGTCCTGGTTCAGTCCTGGTTTAGTCCTGGTTCAGTCCTGGTTTAGTCCTGGTTCAGTCCTGGTTAGTCCTGGTTTGTCCTGGTTTAGTCCTGGTTAGTCCTGGTTCAGTCCTGGTTTAGTCCTGGTTTAGTCCTGGTTCAGTCCTGGTTTAGTCCTGTTAGTCCTGGTTTAGTCCTGGTTTCCTGGTTTAGTCCTGGTTCAGTCCTGTTTAGTCCTGGTTCAGTCCTGGTTCAGTCCTGGTTTAGTCCTGGTTTAGTCCTGTTCAGTCCTGTTTAGTCCTGGTTAGTCCTGTTTTAGTCCTGGTTCAGTTCCTGGTTAGTCCTGGTTTAGTCCTGGTTTAGTCCTGGTTTAGTCCTGGTTTAGTCCTGGTTCAGTTCTGTTTAGTCCTGTTTAGTCCTGGTTTAGTCCTGGTTCAGTCCTGTTTAGTCCTGTTCAGTCCTGGTTTAGTCCTGGTTTAGTCCTGGTTTAGTCCTGGTTTAGTCCTGGTTCAGTCCTGGTTTAGTCCTGGTTTAGTTCCTGGTTTAGTCCTGGTTTAGTCCTGGTCAGTCCTGGTTTAGTCCTGTTTAGTTTGTTAGTCCTGGTTTAGTCCTGTTTAGTCCTGGTTTAGTCCTGTTTAGTCCTGTTTAGTCCTGGTTTGGTTTAGTCCTGGTTTAGTCCTGGTTTAGTCTGGTTTCAGTCCTGGTTTAGTCCTGGTTTAGTCCTGGTCCAGGGTTAAAGACGTTATGTAAAAATATTAATCTGAGATGAACTCGCTTCATGTTTTAGTTTAGTTTTTGTTTTAGTTTTTTGATGCGACTTGTTTCTGCTTCATGTTCAGTTTCACAAAAGAAAATAAAAAGATTAAAAAAATATATATATAAATATATAAATATAAAGTACAAATGTTACGGTAATTTAATATTTTCATGTTCACAAAGTCGTTTATTCATGTTCACTGTGTGTGAATTTGATTTTCTGTTGTTTTTTTCGTGTAGTTTTTCTGTCAGTCACAGACTCGAGTCCAGCTGCAGGTCGAGAAAAAAAACAGATTCTGCTTAAAAAAAAAAAAACAAAAAAACAATATGTAGAACATTTTATTAAAGGAAAAAGAGGCAGTTTAAAAAACAAAACGAAGAAAAAAATCTAGGTGACAAAAGAAACAAACTAACAAACGAAAACTGTGAAGGACGAGAAGGTGCGGGTGGAGGAGGAGGAGAAAGAGGAGGTGCAGCTGGAGGCAGCGTGGGTGGAGGAAGAGGAGGAGGCGCAGGTGGAGGTAGTGCAGTTGGAGGAGGGAGAGAGTTGAGGAGGTGCGGGTGATGGTGGTGGAGGAGGAAGAGGAGGTTCGAGTGGAGGAGGAAGAGGAGGCACGAGTGGAGGAGGAGGCACGGGTGGAGAATGAAGAGGAGGAGGAGGTGCAGGTGGAGGCAGCGCGGGTGGTGGAGGTGGTGGAAGAAGATTAGGAGTGAGTGGAGGAGGAGGAGTAAGAGGAGGCGCAGGTGGAGGAAAAACAGGAAGAAGAAGCGCAGGTGGAGGAGGGACAGAGATGAGGAATAGAGGGTGGAGGAGGCACGGGTGGAGGAGGAAGAGGAGGCGCAGGTGGAGGAAGGAGAGAGTTGAGGAAGAGGAGGAGGACGAGGAGGCATGGGTGGAGGAGAGACTTGAGAAAGAGGAGGAGGTGGAGGTAGCGTGGGTGGTGGAGGAGGAAGAGGATGCACGAGTGGAGGAGGCGTGGGTGGAGGAAGTAGAGAGTTGAGGAGGAGGAGGAGGTTCGGGTGGAGGAGGTGGTGGAAGAAGATTAGGAGTGAGTGGAGGAGGAAGAGTAAGAGGAGGTGCGGGTGGAGGAGTAAGAGGAGGTGCGGGTGGAGGAAGGAGAGAGTTGAGAAAGAGGAGGTGTAAGAGGAGGAACAGGAGGCGTGGGTGGAGGAGGTTCGGGTGGAGGAGGAGGAGGTGGAGGGGGGCGGGAGAGGTGGCGCTGCTCTCCCCGGGACAGCCCTCCCCTCCCCGGGCACACCTCCCCTCCCCTGCCCGTCTCCAGCGCTTTACGGTCGGACATAAATTACCGGGAAGCAGCAGCCGGTTGTTTCAGAGGCGAGGCGGCCGAGTGCAGCTCAGGGATCCGGCTCTCCGCGTCCTCCCCCCGGGTTCTGTCCCCGCCAAAGACCCACTGCACCACCGCCACCTCCGGCCCCCCACAGCACCGAGCCACGGCACCAGCTCCGGCCGCCGCTCACGCACCGCAGCCCGGGCGAACACGCCGCCGTGCCCCGCTCCCGCTCTCTGTCCTGCGGAGTGAAATGCTTCGGGACGCGTCGGACCGCACCGGCCGCCCTCGCCTCTTCCTCCGCGGCTCCGCGCTCACTTCCCCGGGGCACCGCGCCGCGCCTCCCCGCTCCTCGGCCTCGGTTCCCCCCCGGACTTGTTGTGGTCGCTTTTGGACATGTCCCGTTCTTTTCGGAGTCTGGACTGAAGGCGGCGCGCTCCCGGTCCGCGTGCACGTGTCTGTCCCGTAGCCCGGTACAGAGGCGCGTGCGCGTGTAGCCCAAAGCGCGCGCCCGTGGAGAGGTCGAAGTTCGCTGCGCTTTTGGAGATGTGAACGCGCACGGCCGGGAGACAACTGTTACTCCTCTTCTCCCCCCCTTTCTCTCTCTCTTTCTCTCTTTCTTTCTGCACTCTTTCTCTTTCTCTCCTTTTCCCCTCTTTCCCACGCACGTGCACGTGTCCTGCCCCCTCTCACACACGCACGCGCACGGACAGTCGTGTCGGAGCCTCGGAGCAGCCCGGGACAGATATGTATTCTCCGCTATGTCTGACGCAGGTGAGTCACACTTTTGGTGGATTTTGGCTCAAAACTTGAACTTTGCGCGTGCTCCCCGGTGGTGGGCGCGTGCACGGCGGACTCCCCCGTTATGTCCCGAGTGTGTTCCGAGTGTGTTCCGAGTGTTTCCGGTGCTGTGGGCCTCGCAGCGGGTCCGTGCGGGACCGTGGCGCGCGGACCCGCTCCTCCGCCTCCGGGACAAACTTGTCGCTGGTTTTTCCCGGAACTTGCTCCGCTCTTCCGCTCTTCCTCCCTCTCTTCCCTCGCTCTTTTCTCTCTCTTTTCTCTCCTCTTTCACTTTGGCACTTTTACTTTCCCTCCATTCCTCCGGGCTCCGCGGGAAAGGGGGCGGTGTTCGTGTGAGTTCGCAGCCGAGTGACGCTCGCCTCAGTCCGGCCGCGGCTCCACCGAACCCCGCTCTCCGTTTGCGCTTCCCCCGCGGCGCTTCTGTCGCTTTGCTTCATGTCCCCGCACGAGCCTGACCCCGTGACCCCCCCCCGTGACCCCTGACCCCAGACTTTACGGGTAAATGCGGTTTTCGGGCCGCGCCGAGCGCGGCTCCGGACGGAAACATTTTGTCCTTTTGACACTTTTCACTTTTGGAAACAGAAAAACTCGAGTCTCTTTAATGAAACAAACGTGAAAACCAAAGGAAAAGTACAAATGTTTAGAGTTTAATTTAGGTTTAAGCTTGGATTTTTGGACCAAATTAAACTGTAATTCTCAGGACAAGAATATTTGACTGAAATTTTAAAGATACGGACTGAATTTTATTTTAACATTTACACAAAATCAATTTAAAATCAATAAAATCAGTGAAATAAAAGTGTTGAAGTCTTCAGGTTTAGTCCAGGTTTTATTTGGAGGTGACGTAATCTCCTGATCCCAGAGTCAGAGGTGAAACCAGGAGACACGAACCAGGACTGAACCAGGACTAAACCAGGACTAAACCAGGACTAAACCAGGACTAAACCAGGACTAAACCAGGACTAAACCAGGACTGAACCAGGACTAAACCAGGACTGAACCAGGACTGAACCAGGACTGAACCAGGACTGAACCAGGACTAAACCAGGACTAAACCAGGACTGAACCAGGACTGAACCAGGACTGAACCAGGACTAAACCAGATCTAAATTAAGACTACACCAGGGGCTCAGACAGAACTAAATCAGGACTACACCAGGTCTAAACCTGGTCTAAACTAAGACTAAACCAGGACTACATGAGGTGTAAACGGAGTGTAAACCAGGACTAAACCAGGACTATGTGAGCTTTAAACTAGATCTAAACCAGGTCTGAAGCAGGTCTAAATTAAGACTAAACGAGGGGCTCAAACTGAATTAAACCAGGACTAAATGAGGTCTAAATGGAGTCTGAACCAGGACTAAAGCAGGTCTTGTCCAGATCTAAACCAGGTCTGGAGCAGATCTTGTAGATCTAGTCTTGTGGATCTGTTCTTGTGGAACCGTTTTTTTTGGATCAGGACTTTTGGTCCTGTTCTCGTGGTTCTGTTCTGGAGGTTCTGTTCTCGTGGTTCTGTTCTCTGTTCTGTTTCTGTTCTGTTTCTGTTCTCGTGGTTCTGTTCTGGAGGTTCTGTTCTCGTGGTTCTGTTTTGGTGGTTCTGTTCTCGTGGATCAGTTTCTGTTCTGTGGATCAGTTCTGGAGGTTCTGTTCGTGGTTCTGTTCTCGTGGTTCTGTTCTCGTGGATCAGTTCTCGTGGATCAGTTCTGGAGGTTCTGTTCTGGAGGTTCTGGTCTCGTGGTTCTGTTCTCGTGGTTCTGTTCTCGTGGATCAGTTCTCGTGGATCAGTTCTGGAGGTTCTGTTCTGGAGGTTCTGTTCTGGAGGTTCTGGTCTCGTGGTTCTGTTCTGGAGGTTCTGTTCTCGTGGTTTTGTTCTGGAGGTTCTGTTCTCGTGGTTCTGTTCTGGAGGTTCTGTTCTCGTGGTTCTGTTCTCGTGGTTCTGTTCTCGTGGTTCTGTGGATCAGTTCTCGTGGATCAGTTCTGGAGGTTCTGTTCTCGTGGTTCTGTTCTCGTGGATCAGTTCTCGTGGTTCTGTTCTCGTGGTTCTGTTCTCGTGGATCAGTTCTCGTGGTTCTGTTCTGGAGGTTCTGTTCTCGTGGTTCTGTTCTGGAGGTTCTGTTCTCGTGGTTTTGTTCTGGAGGTTCTGTTCTCGTGGTTCTGTTCTGGAGGTGGGAGCTTGTGCTGGATGAGGCCTGTTGTTGTGATTAAAGGATTTGTTCTAATTCTGGATTAATCTGTTGAAATTAGCTCCGCTCCAAAAGAATCTTCCACAAACACAAACACGAACACGAACAGAAAGACGACGTGACGCTCCTCAAACCCGACGCCTCCTCAACCCAAAACCACACAAACCAAGAACCACAAAACCACCACGTTTGACCCGAACATTTGACCCGTTTTAAATGTGTCTGATTTTCTCCTGGACTAAACCCTCTCACTCTGTCGCTCGTCACTTCTGCAGCCGCAGCTTTTCTCTGCTCCAAACCTCCGCCTCACAAACACTTTTACACCAAATATTCAAATTATCAGACAAAATGTTCATACTTTTTTATTTACATTTTTATTTTAAATGTTCTTACTGTAAAAAAACTAAATCGATCCACGTTTAGACGACTTGAATTTACAAAGTTTGACCAGGATTTGATAAAATTTCACTTGACGAGTAAAATGATCAATACATTTTCATACGTAAAATATGAAAATTCATCTTTTGTTGCACTTAAAATAAAAAAAACAAACAAATTTTAGCATTTAAAATAAGAAATTAAATCTAATTTTGCTTGATTTAAGAAACACACACTTGTGAGTCAAGTTAAATCGACTCAAATAAAGTAAAATGTTTTTAATTTAAGTCATTTAAATTTTGTGAGATATTGTTTTTGTTGTTGTTATTTTTACACATTTTTAAGTTTTTTTTTTCTTCAGTGCAGGTTTTTATTTTTATTTATTTATTGATGATTGATTGATTGATTTTTATTATTATGTTTTGTTTTGTTTTTAACATATTTTTAAGTTTTTATTTTTTTCTTCTTTTTTTTCCTTTTTTTTTGTTTATTTTTCCAAATTTTAAAAATAATTTGACGGAATTACAATCATTTATTCCACGTCATTCCTCTGTTTCTTCGTCTGTGCTGCAATTTAAGCCTGAATTTTAAGCATAATTTTAAATATTTGTGTTTGTGGTTTTGACAAAAGAGAAAAAAACTGAAATAATTTAAATATTTTTGTGGTGGACGAGGTGATAATTCTGATGAGAATAAACTGAAAATCGTGTAAATTTTGAGTTAAAGAAGTAAATGTTTCCTGCTGTTTGTGGAAAATAAAAATATAAATAAAATGTGGACGTTTTTAAATCTGATTTTGATGTGATTTTGGTGATTTTTACGCGTGTGTCAGATGCCCTCCCGTCTCCGTCTTTATTATTTCGTTGTTTTTTGGAATCGGAACAAAACGTTGCTTTTTTTTTTCTCTCCTTTTTTCTCGAGGCGTTTTTAAAGCAGAAACCTGGAACCAGTCCAAGAAAGACCCCACACGGGACTAAACCAGGACTGAACCAGGACTAAACCAGGACTACACCAGGACTAAACCAGGACTACACCAGGACTAAACCAGGACTACACCAGGACTAAACCAGGACTACACCAGGACTGAACCAGGACTACACCAGGACTAAACCAGGACTAAACCAGGACCAGGACTGAACCAGGACTACACCAGGACTACTAACCAGGACTAACCAGGACTAAACCAGGACTACACCAGGACTGGAACCAGGACTACTAACCAGGACTACACCAGGACTAAACCAGGACTAAACCAGGACTAACCAAACCAGGACTAAGGACTAAACCAGGACTACACCAGGACTACACCAGGACTAAACCAGGACTAAACCAGGACTAAACCAGGACTAAACCAGGACTAAACCAGGACTAAACCAGGACTAAACCAGGACTAAACAGGACTACACCAGGACTAAACCAGGACTAAACCAGGACTAACCACTAAACAGGACTAAACCAGGACTAGGACTAAACCAGGACTAACACCAGGACTAAAACCAGGACTAAAAGGACTAAACCAGGACTAACCAGGACTAGGACTAAACCAGGACTAAACCAGGACTAAACCAGGACTAACCAGGACTAAACCAGGACTAAACCTAAACCAGGACTAACCAGGACTAACCAGGACTACAGGACTAAACCAGGACTAAACCAGGACTAACCACTAAACCAGGACTAAACCAGGACTAAACCAGGACTAAACCAGGACTACACCAGGACTAAACCAGGACTAAACCAGGACTAAACCAGGACTAAACCAGGACTAAACCAGACTAGGACTAAACCCAGGACTAAACCAGGACTGGACTAAACCAGGACTACACAGACTAAACCAGGACTAAACCAGAACTAATTTTGGACTAAACCAGGACTAAACCAGAACTAATTTTGGACTAAACCAGGACTACAACAGGACTAACCAGGTCTGGTTGTAGGTTCACACAGTTCATGTCGTTGGTTCCTGTTTTTTTTTTTTTGGGGGGGGGGGGGGGGTTTTGTGGTGTTTGTGATGAGTCTGATTCTCGTCTGATCCTCGACCTCATGTGGCTCAGATCCATCCAGACCCTGAACCCAACCTGAGCCTGGTCCAGTTCTGGTCTGGTCCTGGTCTGGTCCTGGTCCTGGTCTGGTCCTGGTCCTGGTCCTGGTCTGGTTGTGTTTGTTCTGTTCTTCTCCATGTGGGACGTTTTTTCATCAGTGTTTTTTTTAAATGATCATTTCTTCCTGATATTTGAGTTTAGGTTTGTAGATGTTTGTAGATGTTTGTAGATGTTTGTTGAGTCCAACAGGTTTTGTCTCTTCATGTTGAACGTCGTGTGTGTTGGACTGAAGATCGTGTTGTTGTGTTGTCGTGTTGTTGTTGTCGTGTTGTTGTCGTGTTGTCGTGTTGTCGTGTTGTTGTTGTCGTGTTGTTGTTGTCGTGTTTGTTGTTGTCGTGTTGTCGTGTTGTCGTGTTGTCGTGTTGTTGTCGTGTTGTCGTGTTGTTCGTGTTGTTGTGTTGTCGTGTTGTTGTCGTGTTGTCGTGTTGTCGTGTTGTCGTGTTGTCGTGTTGTCGTGTTGTTGTCGTGTTGTCGTGTTGTCGTGTTGTTGAACTGTACATGTGTGTGTTTTCTGTTTCTCTTTCTCTCTTTTCTTCACACTCTTCAGTTCTTTTTGCATTAATCGTGTTCTTGTGTTTTTTCAGGATGAGTTCCATCCGTTCATCGAGGCTCTGCTCCCGCACGTTCGCGCCTTCGCTTACACCTGGTTTAACCTTCAGGCGAGGAAGAGGAAGTACTTCAAGAAGCACGAGAAGCGCATGTCGAAGGAGGAAGAGCGCGCGGTCAAAGACGAGCTGCTCGGCGAGAAACCCGAGGTCAAACAGAAGTGGGCCTCTCGACTTTTGGCCAAACTCCGTAAAGACATTCGCCCCGAGTTCAGAGAAGACTTCGTCCTGACGGTGACGGGGAAAAAGGCGCCGTGCTGCGTCCTGTCCAACCCCGACCAGAAAGGAAAGATGCGCCGCATCGACTGTCTGCGTCAGGCCGACAAAGTCTGGAGACTGGACCTGGTCATGGTGATTCTGTTCAAGGGCATCCCTCTGGAGAGCACGGACGGCGAGCGCCTCGTCAAGAGTCCGCAGTGCGCCAACCCCTCGCTCTGCGTCCAGCCGCACCACATCGGAGTGTCCGTCAAGGAGCTCGACCTGTACCTCGCATACTTCGTACACGCAGGTCAGTCATGCCCCAAACACGCTGCTGTGTCATACTTCGTACACGCTGTCAGGTCATACTTCGTACACGCTGGTCAGTCATACTTCGTACAGGGTCACTTCGTACACGCTGGTCAGTCATGGCCCAAACACGCTGCTGTGTCATACTTCATACACGCTGGTCTGTCATACTTCGTACAGGGTCATACTTCATACACATTGCTCTGTCACACTTCGTACACGCTGATCTGTCATACTTCGTACACGCAGGTCAGTCATGCCCCAAACACGCTGGTCGGTCATACTTCGTACACACTGATCTGTCATACTTCGTACATGCAGGTCAGTCATACTTCGTACAGGTCATACTTCGTACAGGTCATACTTCGTACAGGTCATACTTCGTACAGGTCATACTTCGTACAGGTCATACTTTTGGCTGTTTTGTTCTCTGAGGTTTGTTTTGGTCGTTGAGTTCCGCTCGTTTGTAGATTTTCTGTTTTTGTGGTTTCTGAAGTCGGAGGTTGAGAGTTTGGACCTGACCTGAGTCTTGGTCAGGACCTGAGTGTCGGTGATGACCTGAGCTGTAGGAGGTTGTGCTTGGTGTTTTGGCGGCGGCGGCGGCGGCGGCTGTGATCCGTGGAGCGTCTCTGCGTTCGTGCGTTAAAGTTAATCTGAGTTGGACAAATAACAAAACCACGAAGCGTCGCCGAGATTTTATTTAGTCGTTTCCAAAAGCAAAAATCAAAAGGCTTTAAGCGTTTTGTGATGGACTAAACTCATACAGATGTTCAGTCCGAGTCATTTAACACAGATAATGGTCGGACTGTTGGTCCCGACTCCAAACCGCAGGCTTTTACTGACACACGTCTCCATTACAGCCGACCTATTCTGCAAAATCCACTTTTCAGAGCTTTTAACCCGGTTACACTTGTTTCCTTCTCATTTACTCACTCAGAGGTTTTTTTTAAAGTTGTTGGGAGCCATTCCTGCGTTTGAGGAAACTTTAATCTCTTATTTTAAAGACGCCGTTTTGTCCATTTCCTCGTTTACGGCGCAGGGACGACGGTTCACGTAGACCTGACACGGTTCAGTTTGAGTCTTTGGGATTCATTTCATTTTGATTTGTGTGTCAAACAATCTTCAAACTCATAAAATCGAGTTGAAACGATTTAAAGCTGAACAAAGTTTATTTTGGGATTTTTAAAAATATAAATAAGTAAATTTGTTTTAATTTTTAAATATAGAGATTATAGAAGAACTACAAGGATAAAGAGTTTGTTTTGGACACATTTATGTTTATCTGCCAGAACTGAACCAGGACTAAACCAGGACTAAACCAGAACTAAACCAGGACTAAACCAGGACTAAACCAGAACTAAACCAGGACTAAACCAGGACTACCAGGACTAAACCAGACTAAACCAGGACTAAACCAGGACTAAACCAGGACTAAACCAGGACTAACCAGAACTAAACCAGGACTAAACCAGGACTAAACCAGGAACTAAACCAGGACTAACCAGGACTAAACCAGGACTAAACCAGGAACCAGGACTAAACCAGGACTAAACCAGGACTAACAGGACTAAACCAGGACTAACCAGGACTAAACCAGAACTAAACCAGGACTAAACCAGGACTAAACCAGGACTAAACCAGAACTAAACCAGGACTAAACCAGGATAAAGACTAAACAGGACTAAACCAGAACTAAACAGGACTAAACCAGGACTAAACCAGAACTAAAACCAGGACTAAACCAGGACTAAACCAGGACTAAACCAGGACTAAACCAGGACTAAACCAGGACTAAACCAGGACTAAACCAGAACTAAACAGGACTAAACCAGAACTAAACCAGGACTAGGACTAACCAGAACTAAACCAGACTAAACCAGACTAAACCAGAACTAAACCAGGACTAAACCAGGACTAAACCAGGACTAAACCAGGACTAAACCAGGACTAAACCAGACTAAACCAGGACTAAACCAGAACTAAACCAGACTAAACCAGGACAAACCAGGACTAAACCAGACTAAACCAGAACTAAACCAGGACTAAACCGACTAAACCAGGACTAAACCAGACTAAACCAGAACTAAACCAGGACTAAACCAGGACTAAACCACTAAACCAGAACTAAACCAGGACTAAACCAGGACTAAACCAGGACTAAACCAGGACTAAACCAGAACTAAACCAGGACTAACCAGGACTAAACCAGGACTAAACCAGAACTAAAAGTAAACCAGGACTAAACCAGGACTAAACAGAACTAAACCAGGACTAAACCAGACTAACCAGACTAAACCAGGACTAAAACCAGGACTAAACCAGAACTAAAGACTAAACAGACTAAACCAGGACTGAACCAGGACTAAACCAGGACTAAACCAGGACTACAGACTAAACCAGAACTAACCAGGACTAAACAGAAACAGACTAAACCAGGACTAAACCAGGACTAAACCAGGACTGAACCAGGACTAAACCAGGACTAAACCAGAACTAAACCAGAACTAAACCAGACTAAACCAGGACTGAAAGGACTAAAACAGAACTGGACTAAAAGAAAACCAGGACTAAGACTGAACCAGGACTAAACCAGGACAGGACTAACCAGGACTAAACCAGGACTGAACCAGGACTGAACCAGGACTGAAACCAGGACTAAACCAGGACTGAACCAGGACTAACCAGGACTAAACCAGGACTAAACCAGGACTAAACCAGGACTAAACCAGACTAAAACCAGGACTGAACCAGTAAACCCAGGAGTTTAGTCCCTGGTTTAGTTCTGGTTTAGTCCTGGACTCTGCACTTGTTTCTTTCATGTTCACATGAGATAAAAAAAATAAATAAATAAAATAAAAATCATTAAAGTGTGAATAAAAGTGAGTTTCAGGTAAAGTCCAGAAATGAAAATGATGATTGTGAATTTAACAGTGAAGTAAGTGTTTGTTTTGTTCTGATTTTAAATCTGAATGATTCTTCCTGGATCATGTTTCTCGTTTCTTCTTGTTAAAACCTTTGAGCTGCAGAGGTCAAAGGTCGACTCGTGTCTGGGGTCAGCTGCAGGTCATGACCCTGTGTTTGGATCAGAACCGTGTGGGAAGAATCAGAAAAACCTTTTTCTCATTTCCACCAAACTCAGTATTTAGTTCTGTTTTATTTTGATTTTATTTTTGATGTTCTTAACTTCAGTTTGTTCCTCCAAAGTTCTTCATCTAAACCTGACGAAGAACTGACTCCAGATCCACCTGATCCTGATCCTGATCCTGATCCTGATCCTGGTCCTGATCCTGATCCTGATCCTGATCCTGATCCTGGTCCTGATCCTGATTCTGTCTGATGTTCAGGATCAGGACAAACACAGACTAAACCAGACCTGGGACTAGTCCAGGTCCAGATCCTGGTCCAGGTCCAGATCCAGGTCCAGGTCCAGGTCCAGGTCCAGGTCCACACTCTTTGGTCGACTCTTTAAGATCATCTGGTGTCACAAAATAAATCTAAATTAGTTTTTAAATTACATTTTTTTGTAAGGCAACCTCACTAAACCAGAACTAAACCAGGACTAAACCAGGACTAAACCAGAACTAAACCAGGACTAAACAGAACTAGAACCAGACTAAACCAGGACTAAACCAGAACTAAACCAGGACTAAACCAGAACTAAACCAGACTAAACCAGGACTAAACCAGGACTAAACCAGGACTAACCACTAGGACTAAACCAGGACTAAACCAGAACTAAACCAGGACTAAACCAGACTAAACCAAACCAGGACTAAACCAGGACTAAACCAGACTAAACCAGGACTAAACCAGGACTAAACCAGAACTAAACCAAGACTTATCAAAGACTAAACAGGTTTAGTGGTTTTCCACTTTTTATAAGGAAACATAATTCATATTCTACAGAACTGAGTTCAACATTTTGACTCCATAATATTTTGTGTCCGTCTGGTCTAAACAGAGGAACTACAATGACCATGATGCTTTGCTCCTGAGCAACAAACAGGGAAAATAAACACTTATTAAATTTACTGTAAGAAATGAGAGAGTTTCAGACTGAAGGACGATTCAGGTCACAGGAAAAACAGAAAAACAGAAAAACGATAAAAACTAAAAGATAAAAGTGCTGATGATGCAATAATTAAATCTATAATTCCCATAAACGAGACGTGTTTGTTTGTGTTTGTTTGTGTTTGTTTGACATTAACAGGAGATTGACAGAGGAGCACTGAACATGTGACCTGGTGTTTTGGTGTTTTTGGTGTTTTTGGTGTTTTTGGTGTTTTTGGTGTTTTTGGTGTTTTTGGTGTTTTTGGTGTTTTTGGTGTTTTTGGTGTTTTTGTGTTTGGTGTTTTTGGTGTTTTGGTGTTTTTGGTGTTTTTGGTGTTTTGGTGGTGTTTTGGTTCTCGTGGTTGGACTCGGGCGTCTCTTCGGGGAACACAGTGCTTCACTAAGGGGATTATTTTAAAAAGTCCAGTGTGACTCTGAAGCTCGGAGCGTCTCAGATCTGTGGGACCATGAGGACAAACGAGGATCCACTCTGGTCTGGACACGGGTCAATATTTATGTTTCACTCTCACCGTAAAATATCAAGAACAACTAAAAGAACCTGGAGGAGAGGAGACGGGTTTGGATCCAGGTGCTGAGGAGGCTCCAGGTCCAGGTCCAGGTCCTGGATGTGGAAGCGCTCGTGTCCTGGAGTTTGAACTGATCCGTTTAAAGGAAATGTTAAGACTTTAATGACACGATGCTGTATAATTTATTCCCACTTAGTCTGATTACAGTTATAAAATAAAGCCGTAAAAATGAAACGAGCTCCATCTTTTCTCCTCTGTGTTCCTCCGTGTTCCTCCGTGTTCCTCCGTGTTCCTCTGTGTTCCTCCGTGTTCCTCCGTGTTCCTCTGTGTTCTCCGTGTTCCTCCGTGTTCCTCTGTGTTCCTCTGTGTTCCTCCGTGTTCCTCCGTGTTCCTCCGTGTTCCTCCGTGTTCCTCCGTGTTCCTC